TTATACAGAGAAACAATAAGATAAAATTTTTGTTTTTTATTTTATTAAATTTATTGAGAGTACATAACATTATACATTAAGTATAAAGTATTTATACAATATTAATAATCATATATATACATATATAAAACAAGTTTAAATGATTTCACAATACTAAATCAGTTAAAAACTATAAAACATAATTAGTAATCTAATCTTTAATAAAAAAAAACAATGACAGGTACTGAAAAAGTTATAACGACGCATAACGATCACTCCGATTACTTCTTCGCGCATGCTCACCGTGTGACAACTTATCTCGTCTCAATTTGAGTCAACTTATCCCAAACGTTCATTTTAAATAAAAGATATCATATTTATAAACTGCGATGCGATGACAATTAAATAAATATAGGAAAACTTATTTAAAACTACCATATTTCCTATACATAAGATAAAATTGCAATTAGAAATTTTAAAACCAATAAAATTACTAAAGAATCGAGATCAGAAAAATCTACTTGCCATATCCAGTTTTACAAAAGTGCTCGTAAATATCACATATAATGTTTTTAAGAAAAGTTTTTTTGTACACGTTACTAACACAACTAGTAGCAACTTACAATAAAAAGAAGAATATTTTCCAAGATTCAGTAAGCAAGATAATAGCAGTTTGACAACTAACCCCGTGTCACAACTAGCCCCGGTCTCCCCTACATGCGTTTTTATAGTGGTGCGACAAAAAATATTTCAAGTTCGTTCTTACCCCGAATAACAGTAGGACTGATGGCAAGAAAATGCACACATGCGGCTCCGGTGCCCTGGCCCATCAGCGTGACGTTGTTGGGATCACCTCCGAAAAGAGCTATGTGTTGCTGTACCCAGTGCAGAGCGGCGATTTGGTCCATGAGGCCATAATTTGCAACCCTCGCTTTGGTTTGTGGCGCCACGTTGGCGTTCAGGAAGCCAAGTACGCCCAACCGGTAGTTCATGGTGACGATCACTTGGTCGGTGTAGCTAGCTAGGACGCTGCCGTCGTAGGGATTTCCGCTACCCCAGTCGTAGCTCTCTCCGTGAATATACAGTAACACCGGATGTTTCCTGCCGCTCTCTGTCGTGCCTGTAACAACAAAGGGATCGCGTCGCGTCGCGACGCGTCGTTTTAGTTCCTCTTTTGCAGCGGGAGCAAAAGCCGAGGTGACAGGCGACGGTGTCCCCGGTCTTGTTGGCACCGTCGTCGTCTCTTCCTTTGTCGCGGACACGTCGAGAACACGAAGTGTCTACCTGCCGAAGCGGTTCACGTTCCGGATACGATCTGGCATTGTTCCGCGTTCCGGCTAAAATGCGAGAAGGGCGACAAAAGCGTTGCGAGTTGATCAAAAGTCTTTCCAGTACAAATAAAAGACGTAAATAAAACAACGAGAATATGTCAGACGCGTACAGTTCGCGCGCGCAAAAAAAAAAAAAACTACTACTTTATAATAAATTAAATTTATTATCATTATTGTATAGTTATAAACGTTTGTTACTTGATTATTTGAAAACCGATATGATTCAAATTCGACAAAACTTATATAAAAAATTTTGCACGTTTATTTTTCTACATTTTATTTCTCTCTACAAAAATCTTTTATCTAAAAATTAATTCTTTCCGTTTGCTCGGTACGTTTGCGGAATGCATTCGTAATATATTCGACATCTTATTTCGTTCCGGGACATGAAGTTCTGAAAATTGGTAGGAATGAGACATGAAATTATCGAGCCGTAAAATTACAGGGAACCGAGCACGTATATATATATAGTATCGCCCTCCGTCTCGCCAAGCTTTACGTTAGCGGCTTCGGTAATACGTTCCGTCTAGAAAGAAAAAGTATCTTTGTCTATTTATGCGGAAATTATATAAAGTGTATCGTCTACAAAGTGTCTCGTATCATGTAATAGTATGTAAAATAAAAAAAAAAAAAAAAACAACAAAGCAAGACTCGCACTACTCCCGCGCGCAACTCATTTCGCGCTTATATAGTTGTCGCGAAGTTTTTTTTTTGCAACAAATTGGGAATCGAAGATATTTAGGTTTTTCTGTGCGAAAGTGTTTTGCGATCTCTTTTTGCGGATCCAATTGTTTTTTTTTTTTTTTTTTTTCAGAAATTCTGCAACTATTTTCTTTCCTCTTTTTCATTCTGGCTGTGACTTTCTCGACAAACGATCAACAATCGTTCTTTGTTTCGACAAGAGCCACTTCCGTCTCGCTTTCACAACCGTAACGACGAGAGTGGTGGAGTGAGTGGCAAGTGGTAAAGTCCATATTTCGCGATATAAGGAACGCCCTTCGAAAGATCCGTCTTCGGAAAAAGCATCTGGTGGTCCAAGTGCTTATCGTGTGTGTATTTCCTTACGGCGTGTATACATACTTTTCGGAAATGTAAGAAAACAAGTTTTACGTTTTTTTTTTCTTATTTTTCAACAATCAATATATAATTATCGTATATTACCATATTTAAAAGATAAAAACAGGTCTCTTATACGAGCAATGTAGGAACTTTATTAACAATAATCCGCAATGTTTAATATCGTGGTAACAAATAAATAAATAATATAAATAAACGTTTCGACCCTACTTGAGTCCTCTTCGGTACATAAAAGTCAAAGATGTCACAATTTGATCTCGTTATAAATGCATTGTTGTTCTTGATAAAAACAAACTCGCTCTCATTTGTTTTTATCAAGAACAACAATGCATTTATAACGAGATCAAATTGTGACATCTTTGACTTTTATGTACCGAAGAGGACTCAAGTAGGATCGAAACGTTTATTTATATTATTTATTTATTTGTTACCACGATATTAAACATTGCGGATTATTGTTAATAAAGTTCCTACACATTGCTCGTATAACCCGAGTCGAAATTTAGCGTCTACATTGAATCTCAATTTTTCTTTTTTTATGTAGGAGTAAGAGAGAAAGTAGATCCTACTTTGACGCTGCTATACGTCCGAAATTTCCGTTTTTCCTGCTAAAATTTTAAAGTAGGATTTAATTCTCAGATCAGACTGCGCATTGCAGGCTCCGATAGGCTCAAAATAGGCTCTAATAGGCTCAAAGTAGAAGTAAGAAAAAAAGTAGATGCTACTTTGACGCTGCTGTACGTCCGATATTTCCGTTTTTCAAAAATTGAGGTTCAATGTAGACGCTAAATTTCGACTCGGGAAGAGACCTGTTTTTATCTTTTAAATATTGTTTATATTGCGAGCGTTTTTCATGTTGATTATCGTATTGCCACTTCCTTCCGTGGAAATCTTTCAGGCTGTAAGGTCTCTTTACTGGATATTTCTTTTTTTTTTTTAGTGTTAAACATATTGACGAAACTCGTCGTTTTTAAGCGCTGTTTTTGTGATTGTGCAAAATATAAGTCTCTCGATTTGTTCTCGATAGTTAGAAAAATTTATTTGATTAAAATTTATTATATTACTTTAATGAGCACGATGTCGATTAATATATAGACGCGCTGCATAAATAACTCGCAGATCTTATTTGTGTCTTGTTTTTGCAGCAAATCTCGAGCTTCGAGACGTTATCGGTTCTTTTGTTGAAAAATTCAGAACGCGGAGAGTTTTCCCTCTTTTAACCCAATTAGCAGTCTTCTTTTTATACAATGGCGAAGATACTCTTCGAATTTCCGTCTTTTTTTGCGCAGTTAAATCTTGATGCTCCTCGGATCCGCGCGTCTCTCGCTATTGGAATAGGTGGAAGGTGCACAGAGATTCGCCGAGAAAATTTTTCCTTTCTAGACACCCCTGTCTCTCTCTCTCTCTCTCTCTCTCTTTTTCTCCTCCCTCCCGCCGACTCCCGAAATTATCTCAGAATCTTAATCAGGTAAGTCTTCCGTTTTAAAGTACTTCGCAAGTTAGCAGCGTATTTGCCGAGACTCTTTATTCGGATTAATGCAGATTCATTTTAGCTCGATCTTTCTCGCTTTATATAGTGCGGAGCTGAGAACACGCTTCTGATAAAGAATAAACGAAAAGACGTAAAAGACGAGACTTTTCTCTACAAAAGATATAATAAAAATTACATAAATATATTAAATTAATAAGAAATTCGAGCTGATCTCTCGATTTGCGATAAATAAACTATTCTTCTTGAGTGATTGCGTTTTTCGAGCTCGGAAACAAACACAGCACACACAAAGAGAGAGAGAGAAAGAGAGATGAATTTAGCACACGTGCCTATGGAAGAATAACAACGGGGCATAAACGCAGCGCGTTATATACAGATATTATTGCAAGAGATATACAGTTTTTGTAAAACACGTTACAGTCGCGCGTTGGTAACGAAAACAACGAAAGCTTTTCAAAAACCCGCGGTCCCTTTTGAACTTTTGCAAATGGCGGTGAATTATTGGCAGAGACAGACGTTAATTGAAGCGAACCGAGAGATAAATTCGGCGGATCGGATGAACGATCCGCCGCATTCGGATGTTTTTGAAATTGCTGCAACGCAAAATATTTAACACTACAACTCAATATTACAGTAGGCTTTTTCTCTGCATACGCGCTGGAAATACCCGATAAATCCCGCTCGAAAAATAGATTAGCGCTATAGGTCATCAGTGGAGACTCCTCACGTTATACAACACACACACACACACACACACACACTGGTATCAATTTATTCATTCTCTCTCTTTCTCTCTCTCTCTTTTTCCGCTTTCCTCTTTTCTCCATCGCTCCATGAAAACAAAACAACGACTGTCAAACATGTTTGAAATTGTCCCAACTTTGTTTTTGCATGCTTCGTATAATGTGCATCAACATGACATTCGTTAATTAACGTTGCCCGATCAGTTTTAATATTAACGAGCATCGATAACAGAACAAACGTTGACTTTTCAATGATCTTTCCGTTTATTTCCGAAACTCTCCCCCCCTCCCCCCCCCGTGTCATTAAAAATTTGCTCCGAACGCGCGCCGAAGTAATTAAATAATAATTGTTACGAATGTTTTGTAATGATAAAGGAGATACGCGTAACGGACGGACGAACGCGAACTAACGTTGACAGGTTGTGAAAAACAGAATGACATGCCCTGCTCTTTGGAGAAGAAAAAAAAAATGAGCGCGATAATCCAAGTGCAAAAGTCAAAGGACAAAATTTGTTGACGTAACAATATGCGTCGCCGTGGGGTCGGCTATTTTTGCAATGATGCTATTTGTTCATCATCGGAAATCCGATTATTTCCATTCGGCTTTTTAGTTTTGCATTCTCGCGGGCGCGTTCGGTTGTTTCGGTTCTTGTCAATTTATTTTGTCCGCGCACATTTCGAGAGAATGACAAAAAAAGCCCGACACCCACGATTTTTGAAATTTTCTTACGTCAACGATCGCAAATTGTATGAGTTATGAAATTTTGTACTTTACTTCGATTTTTTTTTTTTTTCTACAAAGACAGATAGTGAAATTTTTGGTTGCGGTATCTTCATTAATTAAACACGTGTTGTAGCGGTAATACCTCGAAGCTTATGGAAATGTTGGAAGATTAGGCGGGATAATTATCAAGGTTGAACAATGTAAATTTGGTGTAACGTGAATCAATTATTGCTAGCGATATTACAAGAGATTGCATAGCTGTAACGCGCCGGCTGAAACTTGCAGGCGGGGTTCGGTAACTTTATCGCTCGCGACTCATTATGCACAAACAGAATCAAAAGTACGTAATTACATCGCGAACTTTGCATCGCAAACTGCGACGGGGCATAATCCGCGCATAATGTGCGCAGTACGTGAAAGCAAATTAATTACTTCGTTCGTCGCAATATCACTCGCAAGTTTGCAAACGCATAGACAAAGCTTGACCGTGCCAGATTTTGTCAAGTTTCAGTAATAATTAATTTTATATTGCTTCTCTCTCTCTCTCTCTCTCTCTCTCTCTCTCTTTCTCTTATTTCTTTTCTTTTATATTTTTGCTGCTTTGTAAAATCATTGATTTATCTTGATGCTAAAATTATAAAGCGGTTTGAATTTCCGCTAATTTATATTTGAAAGTTTATGTCAATTTGAAGCGCATGATATTTCATAAAAGCCACAGTCGGCTGCATTTCAGATTTATCTTTATAATTTATC